TGTGGCCCCCGAAACGTTTGTTTTATCTTTTGTCATGCTGCACATCAATAAATAGACGTTAACTTGCCAATTTGGAGTGCCGGTGTCTCTGATCCTGCATTTGATTGTTACGGCTGCCACCGGTTGACTACCGCAGCACCCGCTCTTCTGAGGGATTTTAGCGGTCAGGAGTGCGATGGGACCATGGACTTTCTGTCATACCTGTGTGAGACACACATTCTGAAACCATGAGGATTGGAATGTATAGTGATTTTGTATACGTATTTTTCAGAATTTTTTTTTAGCTCGGTAAATATTATTAAATAGTAAATAGTATTTTGCGGTTCTATTTCTGGCCAGCAAGTAAAGCTCTAGTCTCCTTTCCACATATTTAACTGTGTATTCTTATTCAGTCACTAAAAGTACCGCCTTGTTTACAGAGATCAAACTAAAATTTACATACACATACGAAAGAATAGGTCTTCTATAGTGTACTGTACTGTACTCACCGATGGCTGTTATCCGGTACCACCTCCCTTCTGATTGCTTTTGGATGTCCCATTCATCATGATTTCTGTGTCCTGTACTGTATGAACAAGAACGTATGATTTTTGACTTATCTGTAAAAATCCTTTTCTTGTAGTACAGTACAGGACACAGAACCCTCACCTCTTTGTCCATCTTTGGTTTATTGCCTGCAAAGAACTCAGGATTGGTGGTAGGGGTAGGCGTTATAGGCTTCAAACTGCTCTGGACAATGTCCAATCACCTGAAGGTACAGCTATATAACCCATTCATCATAATTTCTGTACCCTGTACTGGACTACAAGAAAGGATTTAACAGTTAAGTCAAAAATCTTATGTTTTGCTACAGAGAATAATGTGTTAGCAATAAAGAAAGTAGTGTCAGATATTTGAACTTGACTAAAAGGGTCTGCCTAACTTTAGTGCTGGACTCATCAGCCACCAGCTTATTGAAATCCTTGCATTTGGAGCCAAACGTATGAGGAGATCTAGAGTTAGAAACTATCTGTTCCCCGATGCTAGAATGTTCCTTTGAAGTGGTCCTGAATGGAAAGGAGCAAAGAGGACTGTCTCAAGAACTGAAACGATTACTCCCATTAAAAACCTTATTGAAGGATGTAACGGAGACTGAAGACTGAGCCTTTAAGAAAAGATCGCCCACATGACTCACAACATAAATTCCCTGAGAATGCAACAGGGCTAATACTGGGGCCAACACCTTAGTAAAGGCACAGGAAACAGTAGCAAGTCCAAAGGGGAGAACTAAAATAACTCGTAAAATAACCCGCAAAATAACATGAATTTAAGTTCCTTAGGTCTAAAATAGGATGAATTCTCCCATCCTGCTTGGGAGCCGTAACAAAGTTAGAATAAATCCCCTAGAATCTTCCAGTCAAGGGAACAGGAGTAAAAAACCCTGAACTCGGAAGCTAATGAAGAGCTTTTGATGTGCTTCTGCACTTAACGGAGACTTAGGAAGATTGGAGGGCATGATTTGAGATGGGGCAACCGATAGAAACTCTAGTTTGTAACCCTTGAACGCTATTTAATGAACCCAACAATCCTGCAGTTTGGGGACCCAATTTTCTGCAAACATTACTACACACCCCTCACCTGAAACTTGAAAAGATTTAGGTCTTGGCTTGTTGGGCTTGGAAGACAAAGGTTTGCATTCAGTCTGGGAACTCAGTTTAGGTTTGGAAAACGTAGAACTTGAAGGCCAAAAGGACATTCTTTTAGCAGTGTTAATCTGAGGAATCCTGGACTTCTGTTTGCTAAGTAACATGGTGTTCTTCCCACGTTACCTTCTTGAAAAAGGCATCCAAGCCTTCACCAAAGAGAAGTTCCCCAGTGAATGGAATCATCTCCAAACACTTTGCAAGCAGGTTCCACTGACCAGTATTTCAGCCTCAGAAGTCTACACATCTGTACTGACATCAGTAAGTATCAACCAGAGTGTCTACACAAACGTAAAGCCCCAGAAAAGAGATCTAGCCTTCTTAACATTTCCAGACCAGAAATCTCCAAACCTAGGTCCCTGATTATAGCCTACCGAAACCATTAGAGACTTATTCAAGTGGGAAATAGCTGCATCAACATCGGGGACAGCCCATTTTTAAAAGAAGGATACTGTTGAATAAAGCGTATTGGGAGAGAGAACAATTTGCATGAGTGTTGTCAATCAGCACACAGAATTCCTCTAGTAAGGAATGCACAGGACTACTTTTTCTGACTGCACCAGACCGGAACGCAGGTACTGATGTGCCACGCGTTCAGGTCAAGCCAATCGCTGCGCGGCCGGAGGGAGTGGCTGCAGTGCCATTGAGTTCAATGCAACGCCATGCCCCCTCCTGCCCCAAAACAAAGTGAGCCGGCCGGAATGCGAACCAGTGCGTTCCGGCCGCAATGCGAACCAGATGCGGGCCGGAATGCACGAAGGCGGGTGTGATCTAGCCCTTAGGGATTTTCTTCCTCTTAAGAATCCCAAAGTTGTGACCCAGGGTGGTCATTAACCAGAAGATTAAGAGAGAGACATCCTGTGACCACATTTTTTAACACTGCAAACACTGCTGTAAAAACCCCATAGATGGAATATCATCCGTAGAAATATCTTGCGAGTTGGAAACCATGTTTCCTTCTACCTCCTCACCACCCTCATCCTGGTTGGGAACAAAAAGCAGATATCATTCTCGTCCGACTGGAACTCAGGGAGCCAGAGGAGGACGACTGTGCTTGCAACCTCAGAGACCAGACACCTCCAACATGGCAGAAAACTGACCCATGAAAACCGACAGAGGCTGCAAAATCAACCTTTGGCAGGAGGAATGAAACCCAGTCAATAAGAAGCAGAAACAACAGAGGGCAGCATCACGGGGCGCTGATCTGAAAGACTGCGCTTAACCCACCAGGTCACTTGCAGCTGCTGAACTTGATAGAAGACATCATAAGGTAAGACTGACATATTTCTCTCCAAGAGAGATAGTAACATGTCCAATCACCTAAGGCTTCAAACTGCTCTGGCCAGTGTCCAATCACCTAAAGGTACAGCTATATAACCCATTTGTCATGCTTTCTGTGGCCAGTACTGTACGAACAAGAAATGTTTCATTACATTGCAAATCTTGTGAGGAAAATCCCCAAATATAGAAGTGATTTTTAACAGATTCTAAAATAAAACTTCACATCCCATTATTTACTGTAGGATGTGTGGATTGATTCTATTTTGAATAAATTATATGTGCCACTTTCTGTGAAAAATGTGTAGGATGTATCCTGAAATTATTTCTGGAGCACATTCACAGCTTCTTTCAGAGAATGTCATGCTTCTATAATAAATTTAGCAGTATAAGAGATGCGCCAATATATAGAATATGTTAGAACAGCTGGAGAAATGCAAGTTCTACAACATTGGGGCATAGTGTTGAAGGAACTTATCTAACTAAAAAGATAACTTAAGCAGTGCTGATACAGTATGATAGTAATAAAACACAGAAACATAAAGTGTTTATTATTCTCTTATTCTAGGTAATTATTAGTTCTAGGGTAAACAGCCCAAATCAGCCATCAAGTCAAAATCAACGCTTTTCTTTTTTTTAACCTACTGCACCCTATGTTGTCTGTACACAGGGCAAATATACCACTGAAATGCAAAGCTTTATTGGACAACTTCACTGGTGTCCTTTAAATGTTATAGTGTCCTTGTTGTCCTTTAAATGTTTCCTGCACCCTCCTGAGCGGCATCCAACTACCTAATTACATACCCTTACTGTGTGGCCCTGCCCATGAATGGGCCAAACGGCGCGCATGTGCAATAGGAACTGGACGTGGCTGGGACTTTTTACTGCAAAGCCAGTGTGGTGTTGGACACAGTGGGGTTGATTTACTAAAGGCAAATATGCTGTTCACTTTGCAAGGGAATTCTCTTGCAAAGCTAACAGCCTATTAACCTTCAGTAAATCAACCCCAGTAAGTCTAAAATTAGAAGCAATAGATTTAAAAACTCTGCCACTCAGGTCATTCAAGGTAAAGTGACAGAGTCTCTGTAAAGGACTCCAGGAATTGTAAAAATGAACCCTTGCAGTGTGGCTTTCCTACAATGCAAGGGTTAACTGTTTTTCTTTAGGGGCCGGAATAAAGAAGCTTTACTCATGTAATCCTCGATCCTGCAGCGGTCAGTACTTACCTCTCTACTCCGGCGATGGATTTTGCAGTGGTTCCCACAGAGCAATGGTGTAGTGTGGGTAGGGTAAGTATAAGTGGGTCAGGGTGGGCTTTAAAGAGGAATCTCTGGGAATTGTAAAAATTAACCCTTGCAGCGGGGCTACCCTTGCACTGCATGAGTTTTGGTCATGAAAAAAAAGAAAATATACTCACCTGATCCTTGGTCACACCTGGCTGCTAGACCATTCCCTGCAGCATCTTCTACGCTGGGCTCCAGCGTTGTAAGGACCCATGACATAATCATGTCTAATGCAAGTGCATTAGCCATGAGAACACAGAGTATATTTTCTTTGTTTTTGCCCCTAGACCAAATTGAGCACTTAACTCATGCAGTGCAAGGGTAGACCAACTGCAAGGGTTTAATTTTTACAATACCCAGTGGGTATTTGGGAACATGGTATTACCAACCACAAAGTTAGTACTCGGGCCTAAGAGCGCAATCGCTAGGGCTGATCACTGTCACATGAGGGAGGGGGGTTAACATTATCAACCCTGAGAAAGCTCTGACACCATCCAACAGATCATACAAAGGATTAGGAATGTGGGTGAATGGAGCATCCCGAGGAGCATTATTTGGGAAAGTGTACGTGAGTTAGGGTGGCAGCAGTTTAAAAAATGAGTTCTGCTTTAACATAACTTAGAATAGAAAATAGGTTGTATGATACACAATTTAATTTTCTACAACTTTATACTCAATTTTTACTGGACAGGCATTTTCTGCTATCTCAACATAATAAACCCAATTCCACTACTAATGCTTAGGGTACAAAGGATACAATTCCATGTAGGAGGGAACACATACTATGTCCTTGGAGAATTCCACAGGGCAATAAAGCATTCTCAGCTGTTCTTCATAAAGTGTTAGAGCCTCAGTCAGATTTACACAATTTCCCTGTGGGATGAAGCAGACAAGAAAGCATTGGTAAATTATAAGCATACAGTATGTAAGTATTCATTAGTGATGCATTTCTGGTGTACATGGCCTATTCAAAAGTAAGAGAATGTGCATAATATGCAGTTTGTTACAAGACCGAGGTATCGCAAAAACAAGGGAGGGAATTATACAATGTACAGACAAACATTAGTACTATTAGACACAATGAAGGAAGTTACAAAGGAGATTCAGCTATAGTATAAGGAGAGGAGATCTACGTTACCCACAGCTTATCGAAAAGACTTGGGAGCCCCCTGTTCTCATAGGTTACCTTGTACGGGGGTGGCATTGATCAGTTGCTCCCACATAGTAAGAGTGTATGTTTTCCCAAATCACATTTAAGAATTGTTGTGCTTAATAGAGCAGAATAGAAAACACAAGCTTGCAGGAATCGAGGTTCAAGATTATTTTTCCAGAGTGCCTAATGAAAGGATAATATTTTTTAACACTAACTGTGCTTTCATCATATCTTGAAGTTGCATGTAAAAGAAGGATGGAACATTTTCCTCAAATAACTGGGTCATAGATTTAAAAGTGCCATCCTGGAACATTTGGGGAAGATATTGGTGCTGTGATTGTACCAACATTCGAAGTTAGAAATAGTGAGAAAGCGAGAGGTTAGATTGAATTTTCTTAATTTTAGTGTTAGCCCAAATACCAGCCTGGATGAAGGTTTGAGATGTATGAAAATATTTTGAGAGTTGCTTTCATATTCCTGGTACCCAGTGTAGGTATAGTTTGTTTTCTATGCAATAGGTTGCACAAGGTTTTATATGAAGACACAATAGGCTCTCCTGTGGCAAATAATGAGTTGTTTCCTGATCTGAGGATGGCTGGATATATTTTGTGGTTTCTGGATCGAGGGGGAAAAAATAGATTTATCCCAGTTTACTTTAAAACCAGAGGAATTCCCTAATAAGTCAATAATTTGGAAAAGGGGGGATTTGTTTTGGGGCAGCCAAGCAATTTAGAGCATCATCGACATTTGTGTACCAGGCTTTGGTGTCCTATTAAAAAAGGAACTTAAGAGCAAATTTTTATAGCCATAGTAAGGATGGCTATGACCAATTGTTAGGTGTTTATTGCAGGCAACTGGTGCATATTCATGAATAATGTATGAAAATCGTCTTACTATAGGAAAGGTACTTTCCCATTGTATCTGTAACAAAATGGATGGACAAAATCCACCCTAAGGCCCCATTCACACGTAACTACATACCTTTTGCAGCGGCCGGGATAGCGCGACTTTCGGGGCAACGTTCCACAGACGGTAGCGCGACCTTCTCCGTCGGGCTCCATTAGAAAAAAGCAAAATCGCGCAAAATCCGCCGAAAAAAGGGTCCTCTAGAAGCGACTTGTGACCGCGACGAGCGACATGGAGCTAACACAGCTCCAGCTCCATTGAATATCATTAGCCGGCAACTTCTCGCGATATCGCGCGGCAAAAATGCGCGAAATCGCTGCGTGTGAATGGGGCCTTAAAGTCTCTCTGTTAGGGTCTGTTGGAGACCAGTTCTTACTACAAGTTAAACAAAGCAACAGTGCATTTTAGGCATGATATATTTAAGGCAGATTGACCATAATATATAAAGTATGCACCTCTATATACACTTTGCATACAAGCTGTAGAAAAGGCTATTTGTAAATTGATAATTTGGATATGAGCACTACCCCACTTAAGAGTGTGTTTTGTTTTTTTCAGATTGTATATTTAACAAATTCCACCTTTACAGTTTACAGAGATTGTGCATTTTTTACAATACACACATCATGGCATTGGAAGCGACCTAAACATTACATAAATTGGAATATCACAGTCCATATATGCTATGCCGTTCTTGGTCTTGAGACAATGAAAAAGAGACATGTCCGAATTAGGCCGGTGGGATATTTGTCAATATTTGCAGAAGAGAGGGGAAATAAGAAAGAGGCTATTTAACCAGAGAATTAGGGACAGGAATAAGGGTGAAGGGCTATGCCAGGGAACCTCCTTTTGTGCCCATATTGGGGGTGAGGGGCTTAAAGGACCAAGGGAAGGGGAGCCTGAAAGGATGGGCAGGGAAAAAAATAGTAAATTCCCCTTAAAAAGGTAATGAGGTTAGTATTTTTGTTGGTACTTTGCAGTCCCAGTCGAACCAAGTCAGGGTGTGATCTACTGATATATTGTTCAAGGCCACTGACCCAAGGTGGGGGGTGTCGTTTGTTTCCAACGGCTCAGGACACATGCCTTAGTGGCAATAAATAAATGAATCAAAGTTTTACATGGTTTAAACATGTTGCGTATTAAGGAAGTAAAGAATTAATATAAAAGTAGAAGGGCATAACAGTTTGTGTATTTAAGAGAAAGAAGAGAGAGAGATTATTCAACAATATCTGCTAGTTTTCATTTGACCTAAAATTAACTGTTTGCCATTCTACTACTTAAAATGCTGATATTGCTGTTGTTATCATGTCTTGTCCCAGTGACACAACATGAATGGAGTGAGAGTGCCTTCACAGTGAAACACACCTATAAATCCTCCCCTATTACATCTAAAAATGTGAGAACAAAATAATTGCTGGAGATCCACTGAAGCTGTATACATGCTGTGTTGGTATATATTACAGACCCTAACTTACTTGTTTTTCAGAACCCTTAATTACATTTCCTCTGGCTAGCAGTATATAAACACTACAGATCTGCTCTTATAACATTCCGCTTTCATATTAACTCTAAACTCACTAAAAAAAGTATATAGCCTTTTCCAGCAAAGGAAGACACTGTCATTTATCACAACAGCTGTCTTGTAGTCTACAGATGTCACCTGAACAGATGTTACCCAAGCCTCTAAAGTACATCTTACCCAAGACTATGCTAACTCACACCTTCAGTGAAAACACACTTTTTTCTAATAATGATATAAAAACTGCACAGGTTATTAATCACATCCTCCAGTTAATGATTTGCTAATTGTTGGTATTTATTTTTCTGCTGACACGTAGTTGAAAAACAGTTTCTCTGTGGAATTTTGCTGTGACAGAAAGTTCCAAAGTTTTGCTGACTCCCTGCCAAGACAGCTGTAATAAATGAGTCTGTTAGGGTGAGCGAATATGATAGCAAAGACCCAATACTCAGTGATTGCAAAGTTAGTTTGTTTACTGGGGAGGTAATCTGCTGTCATTACTGGTAAGTGAGCAACCACATTTTACTCCAAGGGGCATATTATAAATTAGTAAATGTGACGTTCACCAAAAATTCACTGGTGGTAAATCAGCCATATAAAACACATGCACCTGGAAGACTCACCTATAGAGAATGTTTGGTGAATGTCAGATTCATTGCTTTATGAATATGCCCCAGTGTCAAGGGGAAGACACACCTCACAGTTAATGAGCCTTTAAGGCTACATTCACACTTGCCACACATTGTTGTACTCTATATCCAGAGAAAATTCTGTCAGGCTAGATGCTGTGTTTATGCTTCTAGATGCATTAAATGTTTATTTGCATTTTCATGTGTATGTGTGTAGATGAATCTGGTACCAAATCCTAGCATCAAATTTGCATGCGTATAAAAGCGTTTACATGTGTTTACACACAGTTTGGTGTGTTTAGAAGTTAAAATTGATTCCTAGATGTCCCTGATTTTTCATCAATGCAGATAAACTGATTGCAGAGAAAAGCATCTAAACGCAATATATATATATAACAATTGGAAGTAAATACTCTATACAAAAGTATACAAATCCTTTGTTATTTGGTTTAGCCAGAAGTTTGCTAATGAACCCCCCCTTGTTGTGGATATGTTTTAGTATATTGTGATATTGTCATCATGTCTCTCAGTGTCTGGATTTCTGGGCCATGCTCGATTGGAGCGTGACCCGCATTTAAATCAGTGCTGGGGTAAACCATTGGGGTAGATATCTTATGTGTGGCGAAGCAGTGTTTTCTTAGCGAGTGTGTGGACGCCAGCTAGGGCCCCTGCGCAAAACACGGATTTATTGGCTTGGCTTGTATTCACTTGCTTTGAGGACATAGTATTATTTAAGACACATATCTGCCTTTATGAAATGAACGTGTGTTTGTATTTCTGATGCGTCTGAAGATAGTATGGCATTGTCCCTGCAGATAAGCTTCCATTCATAGGAATCATAGTAACGTTATTGGGAATTGCTCACTGAGCAGTGCTGGATAAGGTTAGCTCCAATGGTAAGGGGAGATTGTGTTGGTGGGTCTGGAAAGATGGCGGCTAGGAAAACATGCGGCTGTGCACACGGGTCTATGGCTATGCACACCACTTCTACTATGATACAGACATACACTCCCTTTTCTTTTGTGTACATGTGTTTTGTTGGCTGGCTATGATATGTCGGTGTATTGAGGAAGTGATGTTGGTTGTTGACATCACTTTCTGTTTTATTCTTTTGTTGAGAGATAATAAAGGCTGCTGTAGTGAGAAACAAAGCTCTCTAAGAATAGAACCTCCAGCATGAAAGCATCACCTGTGTCCTGACTCTACAGAGGTACCTCCGGTCCTTGCACAAAAGAGCGTAATACAACTGTGCTTTTAAGCACGGGGGAAATTCTTTGTTTTTGGCATACTTTGGCGCACTTTAGTGCGGCATGGATTTGTGCGTTTAACCAAGCGAATTTCCATAACACCCTTAGACTCAAGCCAGCTGACTACATCTCAACAAGATAGTAAACTCATTTTGACTTGTCTACAGAAAGTAAAGGAGAGTTTAGTGGGAAGAGTCCATCTTACAGCAATTCATAAATTGCTGTAAGATGGACAGGCCCCCTTCCTCAACCAACTAGTGAGCAGAAGCGACATCCTAAAGTAGATGTAAACCCAATCACTAAGGTCTGGTTCACACTGAGCGTAATGTAGGGCTTTTTCTGCCCTAAAAAAAGGTTAACAAAATATGCCCCCCAAAAATCCCATTAATTGCTATTAAGTTCACATCTTAGCATTTTGC